CATCCGGGTACTCACGGGAGAAAAATAATAACAAAAGCAACAACCAGTCCACGGAAATTGCTCTGCATCAGTGGCCCTTTAAGACTGTGGATATCTATACTAGAGGCCACGAGGGCAATCCAGTTTTTGTCCTTGGACCAGTGACAGTGACACTTCACCTGAAGCCGTTCCCAATTTGGTCTTTGTTTGCATTTTCTAAAATTAACATTTAAAGGAACCTCGCTTTACTGTGGCAGCTGAGTGGGCAAGTATGATTGAGGTGAGGCTCACTTAAGCTTTAATTGGAGAAAGTTAAGTCTTGTGCTCGATTAAAAGGAAAACAAAAAGAAAAATAAATTACACAAATAAATCTTTATTGTAAAATATACTTTTGAAGCAAACAATTGTAAGGCACTTGGGTATAATCTGTGATACAAAAATATACAGTTAGAGTGATAAAAGCACTGTAGTTGATTCCTTTCAGCTGCTTGAAGAGACCAGAAAAGCTTCATTTCAAGATATTTGCATCAATATAGGAATCTAAGAAATAGCTAATTTACTCTGTTTTACGTATTCATGGTTGAAATTGTTTATGTTCATCTTTCTCATTTTTAAAGTCCAAATTACATTCTTGTCTCGAAAACAAAACTAGCAAGGCATTCAGAAATAATTTAGATTTCATTCTTCATGGCATAAAATTTAGAAGACATAACAATAGCACCAAGGCAGAGTTGCTCATCAAGTCAATGGTGTTGGCCTCCTCTGTTGAATGGTGTTGAAATTCTCTGCAATCAAGTAAGAAGAGTGGGGCATTTGTCTGTTTCATGTGAAAAGACATCACTGCATATGATTAACAGTTTGTATTCTGAGGCACAAGATCTCCTATTAAAGGTCACATGCAACCAAAAAATCAAACATAATTAAAACACAATTATCACTTATTCATGACATATAATATATATTGCTGTTTATGAACAAACATAAAAACAAAATTATAAGCCTACAATCGCAAATCAAAAGTTTAATATTTTGTACTTGGGTTTACTCCCAAGAAACGAAGCAGCCGGGATACCGAACCCAGTCAGAGCGGGTGGGTGTGCACTCAAGTGTAACGGCTGGTTCATTTGCAGATGCCCTCATGGCTCATTGTGTGTGTATATATAGAGATGTTGGGTTTTGTAAATACATGCTCATTTTCATAACATGTCATGTGTGCAAGTATCACACCTGCCTGTCTGTGTAATTACATAACATGACAGAGACCGAACTCGGGCCATAAATCAATGCATTTTGTTTATGGTGTGTAGCCTGATAGGTGTTAAGTTCGAATTGCATGTGGTCAGTAATTGAAATTGTGTATTGAATATTGTCATTAGCAGACAGGCAGGCAGACACATAGGTGCCAATAAAACAGACATTGAGTTTTGTCTGTGACGACATATCTACATGTATATCACAGTTAGAAATTCTGTCGATGCTAAATAATGACATTGCTTTTAAGTATCGAACTGAGAAAGTGACTCGGTAAGACTGAGTTTGGTTTTATGCCGCTTTTAGCAATATTCCAGCAACATCACGGCGGGGACACCAGAAATGGGCTTCACACATTGTGCCCATGTGGGGATTCGAACCTGGGTCTTCGGCGTGACGAGCCAACGCTTTAACCATTAGGCTACCCCACCGCCCCGACTCGGTAAGAAGGACGTGTGGTGAAATAGACAAATGAAATTATATAAACAGTTAAATCGGTAATCTACTGTAATAACATATAAAAAGGTCGCGCCTGTGAAATATCAACAAAACAGTAGAAAAATAGCTCACACCAAAGCCTTCATCGAATATTCACCGGACAACCCGCTTCCAAGCTCCGCGAACCTATTTCACTGCGCATGTGCTATGAGTGCAGCCCAGCTGTTGAAACCACTTCAATTCCCCCAAGCACTGGGGGAAGTTAGTGAATCGTTAGAACTACGATTTCGCGCGGTTGTTTTCATCGCGTTATTTTTCAACTTTATAAGTTGAATTTGCATTTTTCATGATTTGTAAGTCAGAAACAAAGGTATCAGAATCTGCAAAGTTGTGTTTTACGTTGCATGTGACCTTTAACAAAATTTCGTGGCAAGGTAGCACACCCGATTATGTTCTCAAAATATTAAAATGTCAGGACAGACAATCAACAAATAGAATTGGGGAGTCAAGGATTAAGAAACTAATAGCAAAATCATTTGAACAAAGTATGATGGAACATGTTGAAAAGGTTCCAAGTCTAGAGAGCATTTTGAGAGAAACAAGACAAGACATTTGATGTCAATACACATATGAAACATTTGCCATGCACACACAAAATGTAAATGTTGCAAAAGTCCAAAACTGTTCACTTGAAACAATTCACCACTTGACCTATCAGTGTACCAAGATTGGTGAAGGAACAGCAAATTGTTTTCAACATCTTTGGTAAAGAGCACTAGCCAAGTTAATGTGGTCCATGGGACTAAACAAAATTTGTTAGCCTATAAAATTGCAGTCAAATGAAAAATGTTCATTATTATCAGAGGATATATCTTAATTCAGTAAATAATAAGAACTGGTTATTTTCAAACAATACATATACATGTGCTAGATATATAAACAGATGTACACAATTAAGTTTTGGGATAAACTATACATATTAAGTATCATTACATATTACCATCACATTTCATTTGGGCTACTGAGAAAGCCAGAAAACATAATGCTTTCACCTAGCAAAATAATAGGTCTGTGAAAATAGATGTGTCCTATGGGCAACCATTCGGCCCAAAACTACATCCAACATAGAGGTCACAAATGTGCAATAATAGACAAATACAAAGTATGATATATCACATGTCACTGATGAAGTCGAAATAGAAAACAAATAGATGCTATGTTTAAAATAGGCAACAAGAAGTCCAATGAGGAATGTGCTTACAGCTTGCTGTGACCAATTGAAGTAAAATAATGGTGTATGTATGTATTTCCTTTCCATCAAAAAGTACTAGTCAGCTGACAGTTGGTCGACAGTCAGCTGTGGAAGACAATTCACAGATACTTTCTAACTTAACTGTGGAAGTGATATATTTCATTTATGCAAAAAGGTTGTATTCCAAAGAAAATAGACTGTTACATAACTTGATGTAAAAATAATAACACGTATGCAAATAGTTTGCCTATAACTCTCTATAAAATATTTAAAAAATTCACACACACACACACCCGTAGGTAGTATTTTGTTGATTGTGTGATTTTATCAAAGGATTGATTGGTTGGTTGGCTTGTTTCATATTGCGCTCAGCAATATGCATGCATATGAATGATTCCATTGTTAAAACTATATTCTACTTCATGTAAAATATACCTACAATACAATATTAGTTAGATACATTACAAAAGATGTACATAGTCACTGAAATATTGGTAAACCACAAAACATCTTTACCAAGGTTTGCTAGATGTTTCCAGACTGAAATTCTGGCATGTTGCCACTGCTTGTTGAATATCTTTGCAATGTTTTTGAGTCAGATACAAGTTGTTTTTCTTTGGGTCTGTCAAAACTTCTGACAAACTCGTACCTACAATTCATTGATACTTTATTGGGCTGATATGTACCAAAAACTGTCCCATTATGCCTTAGAGTATAATATCCAGAACGAGACAGCTATAACTGGTATAGACCTTATGAACGCAGCCCTACTCTAAGCAATGTGAGTTGTACATTGTGTTCACATTGGTGGATGGACAGTATATCTTTTACCTTATACCATGATATATCTAGCATAATGGCTTGTAATATTTGTTCCACAATTCCAGAAAACATCAGGGATGACCGTGATTGAATATATTGTAATCATGAATCACCTGATGGCTGTTTGAAGTGAAGCAGTGGGATCACGTGATCGTTCCATTTCAGATTGTGTTCTGTTGACATTTTGCAATTCATTATTTAAGTCTTGTACTAGGTGTTTGAATATCATACTTCAAAACCTGAAGCTTATTGCCATAACATGTGAAGGTCTTGTATGTAGAATGTAAATTTCCCATAGATATTGGGATTCTTAACAACATACAAATGTAGCAGGTATATAACTGAGAGCGGTGAGAAACAATGTTCGTGAAATTGTACAATAAACAGCCACAGATGAATTATGTACACATAATACACTGTTCAAAAAAACAATTTCAGCACAAGAGTGAAAATCACAGAAACCCTGTTTGGGTATGAGTAAGGGTTTATGATGCATGGAGCATAAAATGACTGTATGCATAAATGGTGGATATCCCTTGCAAATGTCTGCAGTGAAAGCTCATTTATGTTTCCTTGCTGTAAACTGCTTTCTCAAATTCTCACACAAACAAATCAGTACTGTCAATCTAGTTTTTCTCTTCACTGCATTGTACAATGTTATGTTGATATTATTTAATTCTGGTGCATGTGTACTTTAATATTACAATACACATGCATGAAGTTTTAGCAGTCATCATACACAAGTATAATCTGTTAAACATAAACATATAAATATATACATAAAACATATCAACAAGAATTAAATAGGAGGTTAAATTTGAATTTATGTCATCATAACAATATTTGATTTTAAACAAATTTTCTATAAAAATTGCTAATTGCTTAAACACAGACATAAGTTGTCTTTGCTCTATTGAATGAAACTCAGACATAAAGCTACAGTTCAGTTGTCTTGAACAAGGGCTCTATTGAATGAAACTCAGGACTTAAGAGCTGTAATTTACAGTTAGATGAAATGGATCAATAATTACATATATTACTGATAGAATATCATGATGTAAATCTTCTATTACAAACTTTGATGACTGGTATCTCTGCTGTAAGGGACTAACTGCTTAGATGATAGAGGCATGGCACACTAAGTATATTTCAGAATCATATGTCAGACTTTAAAAAAAATTAAATCATGTGTAAATGAGGAACTGTTGATCAAAACGTTACATGTTTATAATCAAACAGTAAATTCTTGCATTATCTATAAAGTCTGGGATAAAGTAACTTGGCATTATTTGATGTTATGCCATTTTTTAATGCAAATAGAAACTAGCATGATTTGTGGTGTTTTCCTTCATGACTGTTTAACTGTTGACAGGATAATATAAAAATCTGCATGATTTGAAACAAGACATCGAGACACGCCCTTGAAGAGATCTGGTGTCAAATTTCAGTATCATGTGCGTCCACCATTGGTGATTTATGCAGTGTTGACAACTAGTGCTGCAACAGTATACAGCAGTTCTCAATATACTGCAGTATTTACTCTCGGCTAAATTTTTGGTTCAGATTGTGCTAATTTTGGTTCAGTCCCGAAAAAGCATGATACATGACTAAATAATGCAACGAGGCATGATTCAATTCGTCGTGGCAAGCCAATCGCTTGATAAGCAACTGCTTATGATAAAAATAACGACCCGTCTGATTTGCTCCATTCAGCCAATCACTATCACTGTCACTGACAAGTGTGAGATTTGGGGAGATAATGAGAAAGCCACCATTAAAAAACGGTATATTGTCACGGCATTTTCTACGTCAGAACATGTACTGTATGCTGGAATAAATTTAAAACACGTTTCACTTTCAATTAAAAGTGAGAGAGTAATGCCTGATGCACCTCGACTTATCTTGTGATGGAATAGATGGTATGTCACACATATCCAGGGTAAGTTGTAAAGTAGATTATATCAAAAGCATAAAAAGTGACGAGAATCACTTAAATTTTAACCCACAAATATGAAAATCACTACGCTGCAAAATACAGATTTTATACATATCACAGTTGAGAGAAGGGGTTAATTGCATCGTGTAACAGGTTAATCAAATCCTGTGATTATGCACAAATGTCAGAGAGTTGGTTTAAACTAATCGTGTAACAAAAGCATATCATTCAAGAGCAACAATGAATTTTCACTCTCTATACTGAGCAAATACAGCACTAATAAAAATACACTTTTGATCATAACTGCTGTTTTCAAAGATCATCATTATAAAGAAAGGCATATAAAGCTTTCTCTGAGAAATATATGTGAGAAAAGATAACGTGGAGTGATGCCCAGTCCATACTTGCAATGCACATTTTGAAGTTGTACATGAAATTGTTTAATATGTTTCTTGTCATACAGTATTGTACATTTTATGCTTTTTAGCAAGTGGGCTCCACACATTGCACCCATATGGGGAATCAAACACAGGTCTTCTGGAGCTTTTAAACACATGGTTAACCAACCACCCCCATTATGATACTGAGCAGACTCTGGTATTGAAAACCATTTTGAGAGTAACAAGCAAACAAACAGAAACTCAAACAACAGAAAGGAACGTCATTCATGATACATCTATTTATCTTCTTCTTTCTTTTCCTCCTCTGTGGGTGGTGGTCCAACAACTCCAATCTGGATGCCAGCATACTCAGTTGATTCCTCCTCTCTGTGGACATGCTGGCGTGGGTTGTGGTTGCTGAAGTCTATCCCAACATACAGCAGGCCATCGTCATCCCGCCCTGCCTTTGCTCCCTGCAGGAAATTTGACAGTATATGCCACAGCTGATTATGTGCTAAGTTTGAAAGTATCTAGGCTTTTGTGGAAGAAAAATGCTCCAATACTGAATTACTGGGAATCACTTTTTGTCCAAATATTGCTGTAGCACAGTATCTCACCTAGATGTACCATCAACAGTTTCAAATGTAAATCATAATATGTCACAGCCCTGAATCTCACCTTCACATGTAATCAACATTTTAAACTGTCTGTAATCACAAATACTTCAAACAAGAGTCATCAGAAGATGACAAATCCCCTGGCCCCAACAAATTTGAAAGAACAAATCTCTATGGAAATGATAAAAAACATAAAGATGCAAGAAATCTGCAAATTGCATAAGGCACCACTTCATGATCTCTTTCATATATCAGCCAAGTCTGGTAGAAAGATACTGAACGGTTTTCGAGTTGTGCTCTGGAAACTAAGCCCACCCTCCTTTTGCGACTTAGTCCAAATCGTTTCCATGGAAACCGATAAAAATAAAAATGCTCAAAATCCCCAAATAGCAAAGGCACAACTTTTGGATCTGTCTTATATATCTGCCAAATTTTGTTGAAAGATATTAAAAGTCTTTTGAGTTGTGGTGCCAGAAATGAAGCCCATACCCTTATTTCTTGCTTATTGGTGGATATTGAAGTCCAAATTGTTTCAATGCAAATCCAGAAAAGAAAAAATTGCTCAAATTCTGTTAATAGCAAAAGGCACCACTTTAGGTTCTGTTTGATACATACCGGTATACCAATTTTTGTTAAAAATATTGAAAGTTTTTTCAGTTATGCTCCATACAACAATGAATGACATACCATTCTAGAGATGTCCAGACGACCAAAATGTTGTTTCAGATTAAATTCGACAAAACATTATCTCAAAAACATAAGGCTGCTCGAACTAATAGTTTTCAAGACTTTAAGGCATTGATGATTATAACCAGAATAGACATTAAACATCCTACAACAATTGTCATTTAGGGGAGACATTTTGGCTTTCTAAATTTGACAGTTTATGAGAAAGAATGAAAGCTTCCATATTTGACTGTAAATGTTTTGAGCACAAGGCATTCTGAATCTCATACTCACCGGTGGAACAGCTGCTTGGCCAGCAACATCTTCAGGTTCACCAGCAAAGGCATGATTGATGTACGGGTTTCCTTCATCTCCAATGCCTGTGTTTTCATAAGCTTCACCTTAAACATCAAGATAATTGTTTTAGTTCGAAATGGTACACAAACATGAACAAACAGGGAGAATGGTTTGGGGCAAATAGAGTATGAATCAGGATAAGTATAGAATGAAATATTTGCACTTGAAAAAAATTTTTTTTTACCTTATCCAGACTCATACTAATTACTTGAATCCGTTGGTAGGTGGTGGGATCTAATTCGTAATCTATTTCTGTTACATCTTGATGTATGGCATACAGCCTTCTCTTTAGAGAAAAAGAAGTAAATCTTACGAATTTGTGGAATTGCTTCTATTTATATTCCTGGTTTTCTAGCATGATCAATATATTTAAAATGGGTCATAAATGTAATTTACCATATCACTTACGCTCTGAATTACACTATAATTGACTTTCAGTCATTGGCTATCAGAGGTGAGGTGAGGTGAAATTGGGTTTAACGTCGTGCTTGAGAATATTTCGCTCATATGACGACGTGCATGCGTCTGTATGTGTATGTGCGGCTGCTTGTACTAGTCCAGACTTAAGCTGGTTTTATAGTGCTAGCCCACTGAGATACCATTGGCTATCAGACAGTAACCTGACATCTTTGAGTTTACATGATTTTATCTTCTTGAAGGAACTGTCAATTGTTGTGCTACGACCAAAGAACCAAATTGGTTGATTCCAGTAGTAATATCTCTGAGGTAATGGTTGGTAAAGACAGTATAAATAGACTTCATTGATGGGTGTAATGGAGTAGTTGTTATGGTGCTATGGCTCACTTTGTGAGGGTTATAAGCCATAGGAGGATCTAGTCCTGTGTTCGTGTAAGCTCCGAGGATCACTGCTCTTGTACAGAGGGAAATATTTGTTCTAGAGACCTCTGTAGATGTGTTGCCAGATAGTGGTTTAAAAACCCCTTCAGGAGGTGTAGCCTTTCCATGCTGTGAAACCTTGGATCTTGCTAACTGGTCAAAACTCTTCCATTTGTGATCATACAAACATCTTGCAGATCATCTGAGTGCTAGGGAAAAAACCTTATTGGCCAGTTTGGAAGTGTCAGACTTGGTTTTTACCACTATTATCACTAGACATACCAAAGTCAGTTTCAGGTTCTTTGTTTGCGATGTCTTCTAAATTGAATAGTGTTGGATGAATGCATACGTATGAAGTTAATGCATGTGTTGGGCCTGGAACTGGAATACTAAGTGTGAGTGAGTGAGTGAGTTTGGTTTTATGCCGCTTTTAGCAATATTCCAGCAATATCACGGGGGGGACACCAGATATGAGCTTCACACAATGTACCCACGTGGGGATTCGAACCCAGGTCTTCGGCGTGACGAGCGAATGCTTTAACCACTACGCTACCCCACCACCCCAAGGAAATACTAAGAGTGCTATCTATTTCTTGAATCTTGTTGAGGGCAGATCTGTCAGCTGGCAACCTTGTTCTTGTAATCTGGTTCTTTCAAATAAGTTCCTCAGTAAAGATTTGACTCGACCATCCACCAAGGAAGTACCTTTTCAGACTTGGTGAAAGACAAATCTTCAAATCTGGGAATGGCCTCATTAATGTTTGAACAGGTCTTCGATGCAGTCTTCCTTTTGTTCTAAGCATACCTGCCATTGGTTGATTGATATTTGATCACTGAGACCTAACAGACCATATTTCTGAATCTTTACCCACTGATCTTCTGGTACTTGAATTTAGTTGTCTGCAGTAAGGAATCTGATTCCAAGAAAGAAGAGATATTGTTAAGGTAAATAATCTGGGTTAATAACAGTATAGTTGATGTTTGAATTGCTTTCTTAGTAGATGGGCCCAGTATAATGCGGACAGGATCCCCAAATTAGTTGAAACTTTTCGCTTGAGTTCTTCTTTGGTACCATAATTATTGGGGAATAAAACCCTGGAGTTAGAACTTCTAATTAAATTATATCTAATGTTCTTTGAGTAGAAGTGAGTCTACTGGTTCTGACAACTTTTGTGGAAGAATTTCTGGATAAACTATCTGGAGGATACCCAGGATAAACTGTCTGGAGGTTCCTTAATTGGTCAGATAACTTGTATGAGCGCAGATGGGACTGGAGTTCAGGCACAATGGAAATCTTATTTCCAGTAGCCATAGCTACTGTTGATGGCTGCTAAATAGGTGACAAGGGGAGATGTTTCCTTGATGTATGCAGATGGTGTAGGTATTAAGCAACAACCTGGGCAGCTACTGTAGTGGGCATGGTATGCCCTTGAACCTGTAGTAGTCTTCAAATTTCTTCCACATGTTATCGTATAGAGACAGTGTTTAAGTACCATGTGCCGACGTAATTGAAGCAGAAATTCTTCTGGAGTACCCATTGGCAATTAAAGATTTCTGATGATGCGCCAGACATGAAGATGTAGCATCTGTGGGGACCAGTGCAGTCGGTCAGAGTGTGAATAGTAATTGGGAGACAGGCTATCTGGAAGATCAGTTGGTTTAACTGCCACTCTGTCGGGGATGATCTATCAGACCGGGACAGAGAGTCGGCAATGACATCCTTTTTCACTCCTGGTATTAGGGCTCTGTAATTTTTTGAGTAAAATTGATATTTTATACTTATCCTGACTCATGCTCTTTTGCTTGTCTCCTTCCTCTTGCGAACATAGTGGAACACTTGTATCTCCCTAATTGAAGTTCCCTTCAATGTAAAATCACTAATTAGTACACCACGAGTTACCTCCCTTCCACAAGCGCGGGAACGAGGGCGCCACCTCTACCCATGTGCCTCACTCTCTCCTCATATACTGAGCCCAACATTTGAATTTACAGGGAAATCCAAAGTGTTATTTGGGGAGGATGGGAGGGCTGACCTCATGAGTCAGGATAAGTATAAAATATCAATTTTACTCAAAAAATTACATATTTTTCCTTATCCTGACTCATGCTCTTTTGCTTGTAGAATCCAACGGATTGGAGGTGGGAATATATAATACTTTGGATTTTAATAATTAGTGATTTGAACTGTGATGATTGTAATAACCCTATGGGAACTTCATAAAGGCACTGAACTGATGAATTCCTGCTGCTAACTTATCAGCTGCCATATAAAGGTTATTACAATGTACTTATTATGATAAAGTATATATAACATTAATACAATGCTTAAGACTAATAGACTTAAGCTTGTTAATATGCTAGTATAAACTCCTTAGAGTTTGTTAGCTAAATTACTTTAAATTATAAACATAGTACTAAGCTTAAGATATGATTAAACTTAAGCTAATTATATAATAGCAAAACTCTTTTAGAGTTTGTTAGTTAATGTACTTATATGATATAGACATAGTGCTGAGCTTAAGATATGAATAAGCTTTAGCTACCTATATAATAGCAAAACTCTGTAGAGTTTGTTAGCTAATATATTTTTACAATATGAGTATAGTACTGTGCTTAAGATATAATTAACTTAAGCTACATATATAATAGCCAAAACTCTGTAGAGTTTATTAGCTTATAGATTTATAATGTAACCATAGTACTAAGCTTAAGATAAGATTAGACTTAAGCTAAATGTATATAGCAAAAAACTCCTTAGAGTTTATTAACTAATATACTTTTATGTTATAACCATAGTACTGAGCTTAAGATATAATTAAACTTAAGCTATATATATAATAGCAAAACTCCGTAGAGTTTTGTTAGCTAATACATTTCATAATGTAACCATACTGCTTAAGATATGATGAAACTTAAGCTAATTGTATAATAGCAAAAAACCCTTTAGAGTTTGTTAGCTAAAATACTTATATGATATAAACCTAGTATTGAGTTTATGAAGGAAACCTAAAGCTACATATATAATAGCAAACACTCCGTAGAGTTTGTTAGCTAATATACTTATATGATATAAACATAGTATTGAGCTTTGAAGGAAACCTTAAGCTACATATATAATAGCAAAAACTCCGTAGAGTTTGTTAGCTAATATACTTATATGATATAAACATAGTATTGAGCTTAAGATTTGAAGGAAAACTTAAGCTACATATATAATAGCAAAAACTCTGTAGAGTTTGTTAGCTAATACAAGTTATAATGTAACCATAAAGCTTAAATTATGATGAAACTTAAGCCAAATATATAATAGCAAAAAAACTCTTTTAGAGTTTTGATAGCTAATATACCTATATGATATAAACATAGTATTGCGCTTAAGATATGAATAAGCTTAAGTTACATATATAATAGCAAAAAACTCCGTAGAGTTTGTTAGCTAATACATGTTATAATGTAACCATATTGCTTAAGATATGATGAGACTTAAGCCAATTAGCAAAAACTCTTTAGAGTTTGTTAGCTAATATACTGATATGATATAAACCCCAAACTCTGTAGAGTTTGTTAGCTTATATATTTTTACAATCTGAGTATAGTACTATGCTGAAGATATAATTAAGTTAAGGTAAATATATAATAACCAACTCTGTAGAGTTGTTAACTTATATATTGTATGATGTAATAATCATAGTACTGTGATGATAAAAAGAACTTAAGCAAATTATATATAGCATGTAGCTATTTAGTACTGTTATAAGATAAGTAAAAATCTGTAAGATTGACTTATCTTCTCCGAGGAACTGTCAACTGTTGTGCGAGGACCATGGGATCGAATTGGTGGATACCTGAGACGTCCTCGGTGATGATATCTCTCAGATAATGGTTGGCAACCACCATATCGGATCTCCAGAAAATAAAGCCTCCATTATTTCAAATAATATTGTGTAGATCAATTGTAGAAGTTAGCGCTCTAATATCATGAGTATTAAAAGCTCATGGAGGGTCGGATTGGGTCCATCCGTCTTGTATGCACGTAGTATGACAGTTCTGATCCAAACGGAGATATAGTACGTGAGATTTCATTTTGCGTAAGTTGATGATAGAGGAAATAATCTGTTGTATTATTCCCTTCTGTTTGGTTCGGTGGAGATAAATTTACAGTGTTCTTGCTGGCCATCGTGATAGAATCATCGTATCATGGAGTCCA